TTAACATGAAGTAACTCCCCCAACACACACACACACACACACACACACACACCACACACACACAGAAGGAGAGAGGGAGAGAGAGAGAGAGAGAGAGAGAGAGAGAGAGAGAGAGAGAGAGAGAGAGAGAGAGAGAGAGAGAGAGAGAGACCTATCTGATACAGGACAGTAACAGGAACATCCCAGTACCATGTTTCTGATTTGTAAATAAAACTTTTGACCAGCTGGATAGAGTGAGCTGAGTCTCAGTGGCATCACCAGGACAAGGACCAGACCTGGTCTCTGAATGGCATCCAGGGGATGAAGCACAGAAAATGACTTTTTGAAGTTGGAAACAGGAGGAGATGTAAGTGGTAAGTCTAGACTAACAGCAATAGAAGCATTGAGAATAAATGACAAATAAGCCACAAAGAGAACAAGCAAAGGAGGGAATGGAGGGGACATGAACTCTGCCTCTACACACTCAGGTGTGTTCTGTTGCCCTTTGTTTCCTTTTATTTTGGTGGGTTTCTAAGGAAGGAAATTCATAATAGGTTTCCTATGATTCTTCAGAAGTAGTCTCAGATAAACAGTTGTCTTATTAACCTTAGTAGAAACTGGAGTTGGGCTGGCCATTGTTGGTATATGCCTTTAATCCCAGCACTTGGGAGGCAGAGGCAGGCAGATCTCTGTGAGTTCAAAGCCAGCCTGGCCTATAGAGCTCCAAAGCACTACAAAGAAACCCTGTCTCGAAAAACCAAAGAAGAAGAAGAAAAAGATACTGGAGTTGGACAGGCTATGCTTTGAGTTTGTCTTTTATGAACTGAGTCTGTGACTCTGACCCAGTGTCCCATACGTGCCCCCCGCACCAGGAGCCTGCCCATGACAGAGGACTGAAGAGGCTGAACTGAGTCTGAGTCTTGCCTGCAGGTAGTTTTGTCCCCTAGGGAGTAAGAGCAACTGAGGGATTGTTCTTCTGGCATTAACCACAAGGGAGGAGACTGTTTGGTTTGCTTCATCATGACTGTTTTTCACATAGGTGGGACACACAACTCACAGCAGCATTGCTGTGGCTATCTTGGGTCATGTAACATCAAAGGATCTTGTAGGATATGCTATGATTCTGATTTTCTTCGCTGCCCTGAAGTCAGCCAAGCAGTAAAGATGGCATTACTGTGGAGTAGCAGGTCTATGTTTGCATACTTTTCCTAGTACTCATTCCCCACACTGCTCACAGACCCGTAGACTTAAATGGCCTACGTGGTGAGTGCATCTCACTCAAAAGCCTTTGCAATTTGCTAGTTGTTTCCTTATATAGGGACTCAAGGGCCTCCAAGAAGAGATAGGGATGCAGTTTAGTGATATATTCTCTAGGATGGACCAAATTCAGGCTTAAATACTGAAAAACAAACAAGTAAAAGCCCCCCAGAAGACTGCACCCTTCTTCCTCCATGTGCCTTGGTCCTCTCTCTGCTTACCTACCACCACCAGCAGCACTCCCCCTGCCCCTTGGCTTTGGCTTAATGCTGCTTCCTCTGTCTGCAGTGTTCCTTACACACACAGCTTCACTGAGTGGCAAAAGATCTTTATTATAGAAAATTGCAGGCATGCAAGGAACTAGAGAGAATTATAAAGCAGACCACATATCTCATCAACCAATTTCATGAATTCTCAATTCATCACCACTATTATTTCATTGTCAATACTCACTCCTTCTATCTACATTATTTTAAAAGCAGTCCCAGGCATTTTAGCTATTAATAATATCTATTTGTAGACTACATCTTGGGGCTGGAGAGATGGCTCAGAGGTTTTTACTGTTCTTATGGAAGATCCATGTACAGCTTTAAACACATGAGTCAACCAGCTTACAGCTCCCTGCAACTCCAAGACTAGGTGACTGGTTTTGCTCTTCTGGCTTCTGGGACACATGAATTCTCATTCATATGCATAAACACACACAATTAAATAAGACATTTTTCAAAAATGCATGGGACCTGAAGTGTTTCAGATTTCACATTTCTCTACTTTTTATTTTGTAAAAAAATGTATACAATATCCTGAATGTATACTTGATAATTTCACACTTGTATACCATACATTTTGTTCAGATTCAGATCCATGGCTCTCTCTTGCTTCCCTTCTTCCCTCCCTCATTCATTTTTGGACCCCTTCTTCTTTCTAGCTAATCTCGCTCCTACTTTCATGTCTTGTTCTGGGAGCAAGAGAGGTGGTTTTCCACAGGGAAGAGCACACCAATTTGTTGTCTAGTGCCAAATGTTCATCCCTGAAAGCATCCATACATGTAGCATTATATAATCAAGCAGGTTATATTTATATTATATAATATAAGACTATTTACATAAATATTATTTATATAAATATTTCTATAAAATTGTTTCTGTAATATAACATAGATTTATATTATGCATGCTGTAATAACTAATGAAAAGGAGAGGCCATGAGTTTGAAGGGGAGTGGGGAGGAGTATATGGGAGGGCTTGGAGGGAGGAAATGTAAGGAGAAAATATTGTAGTTCTGTTATAATCTCAAAATAAAACAATAAAAAAGAGAGTAAAAAACCAACTATAAAATCCAGCAACTAGTCACACTACTATAGAATAGTGTAAGCTCCCCCCCAACCCCCTGTCACTACTTACTGCCTGCTTCATCTAGCCTTAAAACTTCATGTGCAGACTGAGATGCAGAGATCATAAGAATGTAGGTGTGATTCAAAAGGTATGTATCTGCTGCAATTTCTGCTATGCATGTGTCCTCTGTGCAGATGTGTGGAACAGGGGATGGACCCAGGAACCGATGTGTACTAAGTATGTGCTGTCTCCCTGAGCTATACCTCATCTCTTTTATATTTCTAACCAACTCCCAGGCTTCACTGAATCTTTTGCATGTCAGCAACACTTTAAGCAACAGGGACTGTGAAAGAAATGGAGCCATATCTGCCTCTAAGAACCTTAATATTGAACCCACCTCTAATGCATGGCCAACTCAGGGAGACAATACTAGGGCTTATTCTAATTGCATAATTCTGAAGACAGTTTACTTCAACATACAGTCTCTGACTGCTGGCTCCATACCTTGTGCAAGAAAGGGAAAATATGCCACTGATTCTTTGGTTGTAACTTTCCTTCTGGTAGAAGGATGCTGACCTCAGCAGTTGTCAAATTGGCACAGAAGAATGCAATGGGAATCATAAGGGGAAAAGTCAAGAAGAGGTGCTGGACTCTCCCCAGCCAAGGGAAATGTTTCTTCTGGTTGTCCAAGAGCGTACAATTCAATGGGTGAGGCGGAAAGGCTGTATCTGCACAAATGCAATCAGTGTCTGCTAGCAAGGTATTTACAAAGTCTGGGTAGATGGGACTCAGGCTGAGAAGCTAGGTCTTCGAGTTTTCTGTAGGCTTGCTAGTACACCCACTAGACCACAATGATACAAGGGACTCAGTTAGGAGAGCAGGCCAGGGCCTACTCTGTAGGAGAAAGACTGGACCAGAAATATCCCAGAAGTACATTGTGATAAAGTTGGTCCTCAAACATGTTACCCTTGGTGTGTTACAGTCACCCCTAAATAATCTCTCTTCAAGTAGTTTAATTGAAGATTTTAGATCTCAAATGGTAATAACATCTCCAGAGATAGACATGTCAAAACTGCATAAGCAGAGGAGATGGTGCATTGTGACCCCTCTCTAAACTGCACATGGTTTCACATTAATAATTCTTACTATCTTTCAGTGCTTGTGCTGTAGTTTGACCTCGCTATTTGAATCTGATCTCAGAATTTTCAATTAGATACAAAGGTCCTCTCCACCACTCTTCCTTTCTTCAGAGTGTAATTTTAGATTTCTGTAGTTACCACCACATACAATAAAAAGTCTACAATTAGAAAATACGTAGATGTCACAGAAAATGTTAGTGCTAGAGGAACCTGAGATGAAGCTTTTGTGTGTATATCCATGTTCGTGTGTTTATCTCCATATGTCTGCTTATATATGTGAAGGTCTTCCTTGATCATCCTCCACCTTAGTTTTTTTGAGACAAGGTCTCTCACTAAAGCTGAAGCTTGCTGATTCAGTGTGACTGGCTGGCCAGCGAGCTCCAGGGATCCTCCTCTCTCTGCCCCCACAGTATTGGAATTAGAGGTATTGTACCACGACAGTTAGCATTTTTTCTTTTATATGAGTTCTTGGGATTGAACTCGGGTCCTCATACTTTCACAGCAATCTCTTTTCTATTTATGCCATCTCCTCAGCCCACACAAAACACTAGTATTTATATAATTGCTATTAACATTCAATCTGAGAAAATGTTAGAATTACATTTCCTTGAACTTTAAGCTCTGGTCTTCCTTTGTCTCCCTCCTTCCTCCTTCCCTTTCTTTCTACATTGTGCAAGCCCAGGTAAAATGATCTAAGGGCAAACAATTTGGAGTCAGTCATCATTTATGAGTGAAGTGTTCATCCTACTAGGTACACAAGAATGCACTGGTAGGTTTACTACATATGCCCTCAGTGTGGAACATTGTAGTGGCATGGTCTTCCTGTCATTATTTTTTTTGGTCTGTGCAGAGTGTAGTTTTAAACTGTCTTCCCTTGGAGTGTTCTCCTGCTTGAATGAATGGTTGTATACTTGGAATAGTCAATCCCCACTACAGACATGCAATTACATTTCTCTGTAGACCATTGGGATGCTAATGTGATTGAGTTTCTCAGAGTTTCAGGATGTCTGTTGTTTGACAGAGGCTTCTGTAGGGCTGCAGTAGATCCACTTCCTGCAGTTTCTCCCATTTGGAAGCAAAAGATTTCATAGGGATGCAGGTAATCGATTTCTGGCTTAATCTGGATGGCACACTAATGGACCCTTTTTAAAATTCACAGAATGGGATGGACTGTATTTATCTGACTCCATAGCTACTATGCATGTCAGATGGCTGGTAAACTCTGACGCAATGTAGATCTGTGTTATGAGCTTTGCATAATTTTTACCTTCTCTGTTTCCTGCTCCTCCAGGGAAATGGGTCCTCTGGGGCTCGTGTGACCAGTGAGTACAGCCTGCTAGCCTGACACCCAGCAGGAGGGAGTCTACCATGGATGGCATCATTGAGCAGAAGAGTGTTCTGGTACACAGTAAGATCAGTGATGCTGGCAAAAGAAATGGCTTAATTAACACCAGAAACTTCATGGCTGAGAGCAGGGATGGTCTGGTGTCTGTTTACCCAGCTCCTCAGTACCAGAGCCATAGGCTGGTGGCCAGTGCAGCACCAAGCAGCCTGGAAGGAGGCAGAAGTGAGCCAGTGCAGCAGCTGCTGGACCCAAACACACTGCAGCAGTCCGTGGAGTCCCACTATCGTCCCAACATCATCCTCTACTCAGATGGTGTGCTCCGCTCCTGGGGGGATGGCATGGCCACTGACTGCTGTGAGACCACCTTCATTGAGGACCGGTCACCCACCAAAGACAGCCTGGAGTACCCTGATGGGAAGTTCATCGACCTCTCAGCTGATGACATCAAGATCCACACCCTGTCCTATGATGTGGAGGAAGAAGAAGAGTTACAGGAGCTGGAGGTCAGAGGATGTGCTTGTTGGAGACCTTCTGGGATGGGGGCAATGGGATTTGAGGGATACTTGTGAGTGCTCAGCAAAAGCCAGGGAGTGACATTGTCATGCAGAAATACAGAAGGTGTTCTTGAGCATTTGTGAGGGATGGAAGGAATGGAAAAAGACTGGGAGATGTTCAGTGATTCTGGCTGAAGGTGACATCTAGTATTAGCCCTGTAGGTGGGGCTACAGACACCAACACTGGATGCCAGGGCAGTTGGGGATACTGCCACTAAACAACCTACAAGAAAGAGGGCTACATGAGTCTAGAGACATATGGTGTGAGAACAATTGCTGTCATAGTGGGTCCCTTGGTTTGATACCTGAAGTTTCTACTAGTTCTTGGGAGTCCTGCTATGTCAAAACTCCGAAGCAGAAACAATAGAAATTTAAAGGGGGAGATAAGGGAATTAAACCTGGGATTTCTCAAATCCTGGGAAAGCATTGGTCCACTGAACTATGTTTCTGAATCCAACATGCCTTACCTCCTTAGTAGTTAAGACAAGTGAAGGGCATTTGAATTACACACAGAGAGACACACAACCAGGACTCGGTGAGATAGGGCACAGTGAGTGTCAGTGCCAGCCTTGTGATGGGGGAGTCACTGAGAGGCCACCAGAGAACAGAGGGTGTTCTGCTGGGCCTTAAGTACAGTGCTCAGGAAGGGAGCCTGTCAGGGTCACCGCCAGGTCTCTGAGTAGCCCCCTCCATAAGCAGAGGCATTTATGCCATCTTATGACACTGGTGAGAAGAGAAAGACATGAGGCCAGCCAGAGCCTGAAGGAAGCTAGATGCTGGGCACTTTGGCTTCCATGATAATGCCCGTGGTAACTATCTGCTGTTTTCCAAAGCCTCGGTGTTTGGCCAAGAGGAAGTATCTGAATCTGCCTGTTGTGTATGAACCAGCGAAGCAAGCACCACGCGTGCAGAGAGAATTGGACACAGAAATTCTGATAAAGGAGTGTCTTGTTGGCTCTGAAAACAGTCCTCAAAGAGAATGTAGATCTGACATTGTGATTTGAGTGGGAAGCTGTCAGAGATCATTATAGAATAAGTGGAACCCTATCCTGTATCTTGAGAACAGATATATGGAGGCTTGAGGGGTTATTGTGAGAGAATCCCAGCCCTAGGAAATGTGGTAAGCACAGAAACAGCTGACCCGGAATAGAACTAAGTAGAAGTGCTAAGGCCGGTGGGGGCATGGGGAGTATGGAGGAAGCCCGCCTGACCAGCAAGAAGGGTCCTACCACTGAGAACCTCATCATCTAATGGAGGCTGAACTCAGGAAAGTCACACACTAAGCCATAAGACGGAAGGGCAGGTTGACAAGCTGGAGCTTCCAGGGAGTTTAAACTCATCTGTACCTTTCATGTCTCTTGGCTTCTCTGCTGTGCCACATCCTGTGGGCCAACCTGCTAGATTCCAGTTTAAAAAGTGTGGAATAATGGAGAATCAGAACCTTCTAGTGTTTAATTCACAAAACAGCACAGACAGAGTAGGACACCACATGGAGGAACTGAGGCCTATAGGCTGCGGGCTTTGATGTCTGCCTTTGGCTGTAGTAGACAACCTTGGAAGATTTCAGGCAGGAAGGCTGTGACAATGTGATGGATAGTTTTGTGTCAGCTTGACACAAGCTGAAGTCATCTAAGAGGAGGGAACCTCAATTAAGAAAATCCCGCCTTAAGATCAGGCTGTATGCAGGCCTGTAAGGTACTTTTTTTTTTTGGTTTTTCGATACAGGGTTTCTCTGTGGCTTTGGAGGCTGTCCTGGAGCTCAACTTTGTAGACCAGGCTGGCCTCGAACTCACAGAGATCCGCCTGCCTCTGCCTCCCGAGTGCTGGGATTAAAGGCGTGCGCCACCAACGCCCGGCTTGTAAGGTACTTTTAAAGTTAGTGATTGGTGGGGGAGGGCACAGCTCATTGTGGGTGGTGCTAATCCTGGGCGTGTGTTCCAGAGTTCCATAAGAAGGTTGGCTAAGCAACCATGAGGAACAAACCAATAAGCAGCATCCACCATGGCCTCTGCATCAGCTCTGCCTTCAGGTTCTAGCCCTGCTTGACTTCTTGGCCGCACTATTATAAATTTTTTTGATTCTTGTAAATTTCATATCATACATCCCAAACCCACTCATCTTCCCAACCCCTCAACAAAACAAAACAAAAATCTCGGTGCGGAAGCTGTACTGTGGCCCAGTGAGTCACAAGAGATACCCCTTTGTCCATACATCTTTGCTTGGAAGTGTTCTTTGCAATGTTCATTAGTTTGGCCTCTGCCTTCTGCTATCCCATTGATACTGGGTCCTCACTGGGACTCCTCCTGGATATCCTGTTGTTGTCCTGTGTCATGGAGATCCTGGAGCTTTGGATCTGCAGATCTGTCCCCTTCACATACTCCAGCCGTTCATAGATGAGGTGGATGCTGGGGTGGGCTAACTCATAGCCCTGGTTCTGAGCCTGGGTGGTAGCTGGATTGGTCAGCCCACCAGCTCTCCCGCATAGTCACCACCAGGGCGAGCTCTCCAGCACTGCCCCAGCAAGGAGCAGGGCCAGTTCTGCTCTCACACCTTCAGGCCTGGCTCTCCAGCCCTCACACCACCAGGGCCAGCTCTACTGTCTTGCCCAGGCGAGCTGTATAGACTGCTCTCTGGACTGCTGCAGTTGGTAGGGACAGAGCCAGCTCTTCCATTCCCACGCCCTGGAAGCTGGCTCTCCCACCTGCCGAGGATGGCAAGGTGTTTTCCCCCACCCATGCCACCACGGCATATGAGAGAAGGGGCAGCTGTGTTGCTCTCCTGTTCTCTTGTGCACAGGACTGGTTCACCTGTACTCACACTGAAGGGTCAGCTCTAGTGTGCTCCTCAGGTGAGGTACAAGGCCTGGCCCCTGTATGCTGCAGTCAGGGACGGGCAGAACCAGGTCTCCAGCTCTTCCTTCTGAGGCAGGTGGTGAGGGGTGTGGGGGGAGGGAATCCTTCCCTCCCTCATGTTACCACATGGGGGACAAGGGGGCTGGGATCGGCTCTCCTGCTCTTAAGCCCTCTGGGCAGGCTCATCTACACCCCCCCACCTCCGCACCCCCATCCACCACCCCCACCAAGAGGATCAGCTCTATTGTGCTGCCCTGATGAGGTCCAGTACCAACTCTCCTATTCTCCTGACCCCACGGCCAGGTCTCCCACCCACCCCAGGCTGGGGGAGTCTTCTCTCCCTCACCCACTCTCCCGTATGGCAGATGAGGGGTGGGACCAGGTCTCCCACAAACTTTTGTGGGGGTTGATCAGCTGTGCTCCCCCCCCATCAACAGGGTCAGCTCCACTGTGCTACCAAGGTGAGGTGCAGAGCCTGCTCTTCTGAGTGCTGCAGCAAAGTGGAAGTGGGCTCTCCTACCCTAGTGACCCCCGGGGACCAGCTTTTCCCACCCGCCGCAGGTGGCAAGGGACAAGGGACAAGATGAGCATCTACCTCTCCCTTGCCCACACCACCACATGAGGGCCAGTTCACCCGTACCCACGCCATCAGGGACAACTCTCCTGTGCTGCCCAGGCGAGGTGCAGGACCTGCTGTCCCCGGGGCTGCAGTTGGCGAGGAACAGGATCAATTCTCCTCAGTGCTGCAGCCACCCTCACTGCTTTTGATAAGGAAGAGTTATATGGAAGTGTGCGTGAAATAAACCCTTTCCACGGCAAGTTCCTTTGGTCGTAGTGTTTCCACACAGCAATATTAATCCTAACTAAAACAGACACGATGTGTTTGGGGAAACTGCTCTAGCTACAGAGTGGAAAGATGATGTGGGAGAGATGTAGGGAGACAGAAGGAGGAGACAACAAGCTGGAGGTGCAGAGCCCTGTTTTCACAAGTGATGGAGAGGAAATCAGGACAGCATCAGCAATGGAAAAGACACTTCAAAGTGAAATTTGTCGTTGATTGGTGATAGGGAGGGGCCCGCAGAGCATGCGCAGCTCTGGTAAGGGGTTTTGGAAAATCAACTCCAAGGTACACTATGTCCTTGTAATTATGGAGTGGGATTCTGGCTAGATTGAAACGGTAAAATAAATTTCTGACTGTCTCCATCATCCTTTTCCCTTTTATGTGTGTACCATTTCCTCTTCCCTCTTGACACAGTCATACGCATTCCTTGACTAATCACGTGGGTATCGAGACCGCTGAGAGCTGAACAGGTGATTGTGCATCTTCTTAGGCCTAAGACAACTCTTCTGAGAAAGGCCTAAGAATTTTCTTCCTTCCTAACACTTGTGTAGGCATCTGATTGAGCTTGCAGCTAACCGACCAATATTTAAATGCAGTTTGTATTGATTAGTGCTATGTCTGGATCTACATTTTTGGCAATCCATTACCAGCTGGGCTCCATTTTATTGCACGTTTTTTTCATGCAATGACCTCAGCTTGTTATTTTTGTTGTTTTGCAACGTTGCAAAGGTCTGGCATCTATCCAGAAGCAATCTCTTGTGTTAAAAACTAGGAGGTGGTGTTAAGAGGGGCAGAGTTTCCTATCCTGGTAAGTACAGGGCTTTGATGGGTAGCACAAGGGCCTGAGGAAATGAGCTGTCCCACTCAAATGCTTCCCTCTGCCCTAGTTGTGGCGTTGACAACCATGAGAAACAATCCTTCTAAGAATCATGTAACTGGAATATTTAGTTGTGATGATGGGGTTACCATGTTCATATTTGAGAGTGGCCTTTCACTACTTGATACAGCACATTGGTATTTCTACTTTGGTCAGATGAAGGGTCTTCTAAATAACATTAAAGGAACATCACAGTGCTCAAAATGTTCATTTGGGCATTTAGACCTTCTGGTTAGTCTCTAAGGAGCTTACCTAGACTAAGACATCCCCATACCCCACAGACTCGAGTACAAGAAATCAGGACACAGTATAGACACTCTCAATTCTAAAAAGACATTTAAGACCCCAGAGTGGTTACTGGATCTTTCAAGAAATCTAG